CCACCCAACTCTGCATGACCCAAAAATAACCCGGGGTGAGCGCAGTCAGCAACTGTTCTCCGGTCAGCACAAACAACAGGCCGCATCTCTCTCTCACACACACACACACACACACACACACACACACACACACACAGGAATGCACATGAAGATATATTGTTTGCATGCACAGGAAAAAAGAGATAAACTTCCTCCGACAAATCCACACACATATTTCAGGTTTTGTTGGCGGAGCAGTAATTCACAGGCAGTGAATGTATAACGCTGCAGCCTCCGTCTCAGCCACTTAAAGTTAAAGGTATTGGTGGAGGCTTCAGGTGACGCGCCCACACAGCTCCCATGGGTGCTTTCTTCTCTGTCCCAGAACGTCGTCCAGTAAAGTCAAAGAAAGGTCATTAGTCGGTTTGATGTGAGGTTATGCAACATCGCAGCCTGGCAGAGACACAAAGCTGGGCTCGAGCAGAGGAGAGAGAGACAGAGAGAGACAGAGAGAGAGACGGTGTGTTTGCTCTTAATATTCTCAGCCAGGAGGAGACTCATCTCCTCACCTGGCCATCAACCCGATGATAGCTCCGCTCCCAGAGACAACACCCCACTACCGCAGAGAAACTCTGATCCCCTCAGCAGGGATGATGAAAAAAAGAGAGGGAGGGAAATAAAAAAATAAGTCAAAAGCGGCAGGACGGGGGAAGGGGGTCAAATGTTTGAGAGGAGACCTCATGGCAAAGGCTGTATCCTCTCATCGCTTTGCAAAACACACCGCTGATGTCAGACCTGCCAATCATTTAAAGATTTCTCGGGTTTGTAAGTTAAAGCTCCTGTGAGGAACTTTCAGTTTGTGTTGATTTTGGCGCCCCCTGTGGACAAAGCAATACGTCTAACCACGTCACCTATATTGTCCTATACATGTGTAGGTAGTAAATTCTGGTTGTTAGTTTTTTTACAGTCATGTGTGGACTTTATCAAGAGCCAAGTCTTGGGAGTCAATTTTATGTTGATTAAAAATAGCAAATCCTGGCCTATAACCAAACTCTTACAAAAAACCCGTTAAACCATGCATAGACAAAATGCCCAAATCGCAGTAGTCTGATGATCAATTTATCCTTTCAATTATTTACAGAAGTTATTTCTGTTGGTTTGGACCAATTTGAGGTCATCAAAGTAGTTGACAACGCAACAACAAAGGCCAAGTGGGGAAGCAAACATGAGCAACCAGAAGATCAGACGGGTAAACACAAAGTAAATAGCAGCACAGGACAAAAATGTCCACTAACAGAAAAACACAAGTCAAAGTTGTAGGTAATCCAGTTTGGATTATTTTTGAATTATTCAGCTTGATGAATGCGACTAACCTAGGTTAACAATTAGCTGTATGCAATGTTCTTATGATATCATTACATTCAATGACAAAAAAAAAGCCTTTGGAGTCTCTCATTGTGATAGACCCAGAGAGATTTTTTTCGACAATCACTGCAGTCGCCAAACGCTCTTCAGAGTTTTGAGCATCTTTCAGCTAACTGTTAAACCATTGAACCATTTTAGTGCTTGTTAAATCAGGTGGTGGGGACCCAAAACAGAGACAAAAGAGGGTGAATATTGAACTATCACTGATCAAGTGAAAAGGAACTCAAACTGCAAAATTAATGCTAGCGATTTCAGCTCCTCAACTTAAAAGACGTCAGTATATCAATATGATGTTTTTTTAGTTTGTTTTTCAATTGTTTCCCATTTTAAAGGCAAAGAGGTCAAGAAAAGAAGGTTTGCCCAGCGTTCTCCCTCTCTGCTCTTGTCCTATTTCCAATGGCACTTTGAGCCCCCCCCCCCTTCCCCCCAGCAACCATGTACATTAACAGAATGTAAATCTGTCCTCTGTGCGTCATGTGTCCCCCACTTAGGAGTCATGGTGCAACTGTGGGCGGAGCTACCTATGCTTTTTTTTTTTTGTTTTTAAACTAGAGCTCCAACGCTAAAATCATTAGTATTAGTTGTGGAGTGTTTGCCCTGACCTCTCTGACATCACAGTGCAGTGTCCAACTCTGTTAGCCTGCCAAGAAGAAAAAGAAAAGCAGCTTTGACTCTTCAAGGGCACCTCTCACTTCCTCTGAATCGACTCCCCTCTGTGAGGGAGCCAGAGGGAGAGGAGGAGGTGAGGGAGAAGGGAGAAGGGAGAAGGGAATGTCTTAGTTCCACACCTGCAGAGTGAATCACGCTGTCAGCAGCTGAACATAACACAGAATAATGTCACTAGCACCTTTTGGTCTGGCAATATTTACATTTTTTTCTAATTCAATATTTGTGATTTCACTAAAAAGTCAATAAAAAGCCTCGAGCTACACTTAATTTGCTGTTAAATAAAATTACCTAATTTAAATTAAACCAGATCTTGTCCCAACATGGTCTACAGCTCATTAACATAGAATTTGGATTAAAATTCTCGGCACTGGGCTGTTATAACACATAAAGTTTTCTCATAGATTGTATAAGAAGTGTATGAAGCCTCTTGGTTTAAAAGTTAAGCCAATGCAGTATACTGCTTTTAAATTGGATTCCCTCTTATTACCAGCAGGGGGCACTCCAACGGTTACAAAGAGATGCCTGATTGTAAAGAAACTGACTCTACTTCTCAGTTGTTTCATTATCTAAATATATTTTCACAACAAGTTAATGGTCTTAATGCTATTTTGCTTAAATGTGGCGCAGGGAAGAAATAAACTACTGTTTGAAATACCTCACTTTAAAGTTGTGCTTAGTCCCAAACTACAGGCTCAGTGTAAGCCGACATAGGGGCCTGACAGCAACTATCTTGAAAATTGAGTTTGGATCTATGACACTGTTGGTAAATTGTTTCACACACATTTGAAAAACAACCCACTTCAAAATATGTAAGACACATAGACAAATCTGGGAGGATAAATCTCAGAAGATGAGACGAAACAGAGCCTTATTCAATCCTAAAACATATTAAAAATGTGAAACCAAAGCCCCTCTCGCTTCCTCTGAAAGCCAGTATTGCTTAGCTACCGCCTGAAGACACATTTTCTCCTTACTGTAATCCAGGCTTGTAAAACAACTTCTACTTATGAATAAAGCTATACATAAAAAAGCTCTATTAATTGAAACTGCTATGTTGACATATTTTTTTCCCATCAAAATTTATGGGGAGCGGCTTGTGTGAGTGAGCACAGATAATGGTAAAATCTGAATATCAGCACTTTTTCTAATGGAAACTTATTTCTTCCCATCCCTTATTTGATGAATCTGCTCGCCTCTAAACTTGTCCGCAGCACATACTGTACGTACTATCAAACAGAACTCCATTTACACTGTGAATCTCTTTTTTAAATTTATTTAGTCCTTTTCCTAGAAGGCTCTTTCTCTACACTCAGCTCTCCCTCGATCACACATTCAAAACACAACACGGACCAGAAGCACAAACTACTTTTGTCTCACAAATACATTTGCTTTGTATCTGCTTCACCAGCATACATAAGCACTTACACAAATACCCACTCCAAGACGAGTGTTTGGCCCTGAAAGACATGCTTTTAGGGCACACTGCTGAAAGGTGTTAGTTGTTCTCTATGCAGGGAAACTGTCGGTAGAAGAAAACCTGGTGGTGTCATTGCAAACCTGTGTTTCCCTCTCATGAATGTCTTAGAAAGATGCAGCCTGTGTCTTACACGCTGTCCTCTCTAAAGCTCTTCACCTCAAAGAGAGAAGACGAATATGCCCAGTGGAGTACAAAAAAGCTGTATTTGAGCAGTAGGAGTCAAACATAACATCTATATCTTCTTATGTTGTTGTATAGTTACTAATGAGGTATCTAAAAATACATTAAAGTAGGTCTTACTCCAGTATAATTGGCATTCTGCTCAGATGAAAGTTACTAATCCAGTTTGAGGCACATATCTATGTCAACTGTGGGGTTTGGTATTTAATGGCTAAGTAGTCGTAATGCTACTTTGATTGCTGTTCCCAGTGGACGACTATTATTATACAACATTTTACAAAAAAGCAGGCAGGTGATGCAAGGCTAGTGCTAATATTTTGTGTCAATTTTCGAGTGTCTGAAAATCGGCTATATTCAGTTTCTAGAAGACTTTCCCCATTCCTTGTCTTTGTCAGTTTTGTTTTCACTAAGCTAGAACTAGAGCATGAGGCACACATTGTATTTCTTCCTCACACCTAAACAAAATAATAGATCCATTGCCAATGGCTTCCAACACATGACTGTTGGGGAGGTCCATTGAAGAGGTTCAACATACAAACACTATATATATATTGGAAAATGAAACTCATTTGATATAAGTGATCTGATTTAGTTGGCTTGCTGCTTTTGGAAAGTCCCAATCTGGGTCCCACTCTGAAAGGAACCTCTGTAAAAGAAGAGTTATCAGTTATTAGTTGACTGGTGCAACCCCTAACTTCTAAACTGATTCCGATCATAAAGATATTCAAACCTTCTTCAAACAAGAGTTCTTAGAAGTAAAACTTGCGAGAACTGGTTAATGTCCTCATTTTTCAAAAAAGGTCCTCAATTTGTGTAAAACATGCAATGGTCCTCACATAGACCAAAAAGCAAGAACACTCGCACACACACACAAACACACCTATTTGTTCGTCCCTAAAGAAGAGGTCCCATATATTTTATATTCCAGTAGTTCCCAACCTGCCAGAACAACTCTTTTGTAATGTTAACAGACAAAGAGTAAGGTATTTTACCTGCTTTTTGTAAAGTGTCTTGAGATAACACTTGTTATGAGTTGACGCTATACAAAATAAATTGAATTGAATTGAATTGAACCTTGTAGTTTAGGCACAATGGGGGAAATTCAAAATACATCTAAGGGGGATGATTAAGTTAATTCAAGACTTTCGAAACAGATGTTTGAAATAAAAACTCATGCTCACTTCCTTACTTTTTTTGGGAGCATACACCAACATCTTGTGATGTTCATCAGCATTTTTAAGGTAAATGAGAGAGACAACGAGAAACATGATGATTTGTTCCCCCTAGGGTTTGTTTTTTATTCATCAGGACTTGATGCATCCAAGTATAGGATCATTCGGTTTTGGCACCTTTTAAGATTTCATTTTCAATTTGAACAACACATTAAAAATCAAAAGAAAAAAGTAATGACTAAGGCTGTGTGAGTTTTAAAAATAAATTACATACATACACATATTTATATATTTTTTAAAGAAATCAACCAAACCTTTTAAAAAAGCAGTTTTGTTCAATGTAGACGGTTTGGTTTGTCTCACAAAAGCAAGAAGTTAAAATGAACTAAATAAATAAAAAAGAAAATGTAAGAAAATAACACATGAAAACATTAATACTTTAAAGTTTAGCATCATTGCTTTTTTCCCCTTATAATAATTAACCTTTAAAACTTAAGTTTCTCAAGAGCAGATTTGCTGTAATTTAATAGCATGCATTTAATTTCTGAAATTGTGAGTCACTTAGCTTCTCTTGTACTATTTTATATTTAACATGTTTTTATTTTTGCTTTTGGCGTCCTCTTCTTTTCCTTTCCCTCTGCTCCTTCCTTTTTGTAGAAGTCGTGTTCGGAGTCTTTGCGTAGTTACATTTTGAACCCTTTAAGTTGGCTCTTTCTGTTAAGGGGTTCAACTCTCCTGTTACGACTCCCTCCCAAAAAAGAAAGTGAACAGTGACTAAGAAAAAGTCGAGAAGGTTCTATTAAAAGAAAAAATATTATTCTACTGCTGACTGTTTGCCTCAGCCCCTAGTGGCACCAGTCACTGTGTACTGCTGCAACCTAAAGCACCTTCTCTTGTACTCCACCTTCAAATAAATAGATACCAAAAGAGTCTTTTCTTATCTCAGCAACAGCACTTGGTTTAGTTACTTTGTTTTTTTGTCTTTTTTGCTTCGGTAAAGTTTGTCACTCTTGATTATTAATGTAATAATTTATTTATAAAAGTAATACATATATATAGTACCTTTGTTAGAGATTACAGATTGGGCTAATTCTTACTGAATCCCAAGCTGTAACAATTCACAGTTTTAATGCAAAATTGAACAAATAAGTCAATAAATACAGGAGGTGTATATCTGAGCGGTGGGCTGGCTGAGGGGGAGCTCGACCTGTTACTCCAACCAAATGTGTTGGGCAAAACTGTCAAACCAAAGGGCTATGAAATCATGAAATTGATTCTTTATCTCATAAATGCCCATCCCCCTCCCACCCTCCTTTATCAAAGCCCCATACCTCATAAACAAACCTGCGCAAAAAAGATACAGATCTCACTCTCTCGGGACAACCTGACCCGCTCTCACTGTTCTGCCATTCAATCCAGGAACACAGCAGACCTGTTGAAACTCTCTCAACAATGGTAATGGAAAAGTCATGCAGCTGAACAAAAAGAACAAATGTCTATAAACATGGAAATCCATCTTCTGGGGCGTACTGCACCCACAGGGGTTCCCGTGTCTCCTGGTCTCTGCTCTCCGCCGGGCTTGCCTGGCCTGTGTCGACTCCCTCATACCGGCGTTGTGCGGCGGTTTGCTGTGTTGGTGTGACTTGAGTCTTTCAGATCCTTCTGGATGCAGTTGTGGACTTGCAGGAAGTTGTGGTCCCTCTCAGAGTTGTAGGTGGCGGTGGGCGTACCGGAGGACTTGAGTGTGTCCCTAGGAAGCGTGTACATTGAGATCTCTGTGGATGGCAGCGCACTGAAGCCCTTCAGGCCCACCGGCGAGGTGTCACGGGAGTGTGATGGGTCCGTGGAGCGGGAAGAGGAGCGCGAGCGGCGCCTGTAGCGGTAGCGGTAGCTGGGGATTCGCGTGATGGCTGAGCCTTGGAGGTAGTCGGCTGCACGTGCCCCTATTCGAAGCTGTCGATGGCGGTCGATGAACATGTGCACGGCCAAGACGCCCACCATCTCAGCCATGATGAAGGAGAGGGCGCCGAAGTAGAAGGACCAGCCGTAAGAGTAGCTGTTCTTCTTCGAGTCGCTTTTTGAAGGGTCCCCCGCGTTGGCTGATATGTACACGATGATCCCGATGATGTTGCTCAGGCCTGAAGAGGAATGCAGGATTAGCACCACACAGCAGGGGAGCAGTGGGTGATGTGTAATGGATTCATGAGGGAAAAGAAAACAAGGTATCAGTCAGAATGAGCTCCTGGGATGAGTCATCATAAGTTTTATGCTACGTATACAATATGTATAGTATACCAAGTATGTTAAGAAAGCTGTTTTATAGGGTACACACAACTAATTTGACCAAACTCTCCATCAAACATGACTCATCTTACACTCTTAATCTTTTCCCTTGCAGCCAGAAACAAGACTAAGGAGCTGTGTTCTGTAATAGAGCTAGTCATGAATCCATACATATATAAATATATACTTTGATGTGTTGGTTTAGTCACACATGGAAAAATGTTTGACATGGTATATCTGGGAAGATAGATTGCAGGGAAAGTGTGTCAGGGACTGAATATTTTTATAGACGAGTCCCCGATGGATGGCTCCTTCCATCGGGGACTTATTAATAATCAGTAAGCATTATCATCATTTTATTGTTTGACAGAATAGCTATAATTATATAAGAATTGCCGGTGAACAAGGTAAAATCATTCAATAACTGCTTTCCAAAGTGTGTTGGTGATTTCATAAGAAGCTCAATGAAGTGACAAAACAAGTGAGAGGCTTATTGTAAAGCCACTGCAGGCTGCAGTCATCGAGGTTGGTGGCTGCCTCTAGTCATTTTTCAAAGAAGACACATCCTGTCTCATGTTGTTGGCGTTTGACTCACCTGCAGACACAAAGAAGATTCCCGCGCTGAGGATGATGTTGTGACGTGACTTATAAAACTCACTGGCAGCTATACACAGGCCTCCCATGAAGAGCAGGATGACACTGAGGATGGGGAAGATGCTGGAGGCTCGCACCGCACCTGGGTATCAGTGAGGGACATCGGGATAGAAAGAAGGGGGGGGGGGGGGGATGGAGATGGGATTTCACGCAGAGAGAGGAAAAACAGCCAAAGGGGGCAGCAAAGAAGAGAGGGAAAATGGCAGAAATGATGAAGCAGAGGGAGCGAGAGACAAAGAGAGGGGAAAAAAAAAAAAGCACATTAGAATCCATTTCAGCATCTGCTTCTTGTGTGTGTGCACATCCTAATCAACACCCCATCAGGCCTGTGAAAGACTCCATCAACACCGTCTAGAGAGTGTGTATCCCCACAGTGAGCCTGTTACCCAACCTTATGTAATCACACCGCTTGACTCTCCCTCTCTCCCAGCACACTTATCCGCAGACCACAGAGCTTACTGGCTGCTTTATGTAGCATCATGTGAACGGCAGTCAACAAAAGTGCTACAGGGCTCTGGCATGTATATGAGCCAGGCCGCAGTGCAGGGGGATGCAGCCACGCGTCCTTGAAACCAACCAGATCGTCCTTGCAGCTAATTATCAAGAAGCAAAAAGTGAAAGAGGAATATGACGGTACTTTTCAAGGTCAAGCCAGGGTCGGAACGAGCTGCACTACGCCCTCAGGTGTCAGGTACAATTAGAGTCATACTTAAAAAGGAAAAAAACATCTGTACATCTTTTTTTTTTACATTAACCTCCTGCTATCCACCTTGCCTCTTAAACTTTATGGCCACCACATCTCTCTCCGCCTCTCTCCTGTTTAACATGCGCCCTTAAACTTTCATCAGCCTGCTTAAATTTTCACCACTTTACCTCATCTCTTACGAGGCCTGCCACCTCAGCACTTTCGCAGCTTCTCCCCAAAGTGCTGACGCCGGACTGGGTGGCTCTGCTTGCTGCCTGCACCTCCACAGGGACCCTGCTGGGGCTCCTGGCGGACCCTGAATGCCTGCATACCTGATGCCATTCATCCAAATACTACCCCTACACACACACACACACACACACACACACAGCCTTCTCTCTACCAGGGGGTCGCTTATCCTGTCAGTCGCCAAACATCTTCACAGCTCGTTGGTAAAGCCAACATCAGCCCACAAATGGGCAGCAGTCAACATGTGCACTGCAGGGGAGCCCGAAGAGGAGGCCACAGCTGGCTGGACCCTCGTCGTTCACCTTCCTCCTGAGCTATAAGCTGTAAATACAGCAAGACTCAGTGTGCTTTAGGTTGTATTGTGCCTCATGTTTCAGTATGTGAATATTATTCACAAAAGGATTTTCCAGAAACTTTAAGGTTTCCAGAGCTTTTCTACGAACTCTCCTGAAGCAAGCAAGCTAACACACAATCCACGAACCTGATTGGCTTATTTTATCACGGGCTTGAGATCCCAAACTTAAACACAATATCTAGCAACTTTCAAGACAAATTCAGGCAACAATTAGGAAAAGTTTCATGCTGAACACAATAAAAAAAAAAACAAGAACAGTTTTAGTTGTTCAATCGAATGAGGAGGAATTTCAACCACCGCTGGTCAGATTGACGTGAAACTTCACACCGTTATGTTTGGTCCCCAGACACGAATACCTTAAAGATTTCTTGCCCCTCCTGACCCTTCTGCCTGTTCCACCATCTGGCCAAAAGTTTTCACTTAGGGCGCACTCACTCTGTCCCGTACAGGTCTTAAGATCCTCCTCCTCCTCCATCCACCTCACCGTGCCCTTTGCCCGCCTCAGCACCATGGGGGAGCTCTGCTCCCCAGCTCTGGAACTCTCTACCACCTGACATTCGCAACATTGACTCTCTCCCCATCTTCACATCCAGACTCAAAACCCATCTGTTCAAGATCGCCTACTCACTCTAACATTTTAACTGCAATTACACTGTCCTACATTTCATTTCTTTATTGTATGCTGTTTATATCCATCGTTCTTTTTAAATGTTGATTGTTGTACTGTGTCCTTATGTGGCTTGAAAGGCGCTTATAAATAAAATGTATTATTATTATTATTATTATTATTAATAATAATAAGCATGATTGTTCCCCCTCCCCCTCCGGCCTGCACTCACACTGCTCCAGGACTAACCGGGCCTAAGTACTGTAGCCTCTTGTACATAACGTCGTAATATAACACATGCATAGCTTTGCGTAATCATGAAGTGTCCTAATAAGACAGGCGGATACAGCCAAAAAATTCTGCATGAACTGTACCGTGCTTGAGCAAGGATCGGAGCACTCACACTAGTCAAACGAACTGGATTTTAGTGGTGAAGCGTGCTTGGGAAATGTACGCTGTACCTGCTGATCATAAAGTGGTTCAAACTATAAAATGCACGACCGTTACATTTTTCTCAAACCCGGTTTTGTAGTGATAGTTACTCATCTTTTTGTCTTGGAAGTTTCTTTTTAATTAGTTATTTGATGCTATAATACATTGACAGCTCTGTTGATGAATGACATGAATTTAAGTCTGCTAAGAAGGTTGTGCATATCTAACGAGCACCTTTATGTCAAATTTTTGACCCGACACAGTAATGTCTCTGCTCCCTGTCTTACCTCTCTATTCATCATGTCATCAATCACCATCATGACGTGCGCAGCGCTGTCTTTAACCTTGTCTGAAACAGTTCCAGTCTGTATGATGAAGAAGATTTTAATGCTGTCATTCATATATCTCATTTTTCTTTCTCCCGTCTACTAACCACAGTCATAGCATCGCCCAGGAAATGTCTTTTGGTCTCTCTCTTGCTCTCTCTCTCTCTCTTTTCAATCGACACTGAGTCAAAGCACAAAACGATTCGGAAGATAAAGTGTCCACTCGCCCTCCCCCTGTCTTTCTCTTTTTCTCCCTTTCTCTCCCATTTGTCTCCTTGCGTGACCAAAGGGGATTGTGGGGTTTTGGGTTACAGGTGAGGCGGGTTGATTAAATATTAAGTTGTCCTGGGAGTTGACCCTGCTCCTGTGTCCCGCTCTAAATGCATCTCTCTTCCTAAATTCTCCCCCCACCGTCTCATGCCTCCATCGCTCTCTGCTGTTAACCCTGAAGATATTGACACGGCGACGCAGCACGTTACCTGGGAGAGGGCAGAGGTTCTATTTCATGCTTCAGCTTCTTCTGCAGAGATAAACACGGACAAAGGACTAACCAAATGTATCGATTTGTGAACAGTGGGGTTGTTAAATAGTGCCTCAAGGTGACACTGAAGTTTACAAAACTTAAGTTGAAAAACTGGAGAGGCTCCATTTAGGGCAGTAAAAGTAGAGGTTATACTCATCATCGCATAGGTCACAGGTCCGCCTCCTAATGCTCCTTATGCTAGTTTGTGCATGAAATTTCACAGTCCCCCCCCCCCCCACATTTCCTGTCACTCTCAAGCTGTCCTATCAAATAAGGGCAAAAATGCTGCATTGCTTTGCATTGTTTTATTCACTATAGCTGATCTCACAGTGGTCACAATTAGTCACAAATATCACTGGGAACATTTTCAATTCAGGCTTTTTTGGTCCAAACGATCAGCTGTTTCTAAAGCTGCAGCTCAGTCTTAACATTAATCCAAAGCCTCAGGCATCATACAGACACAACTTGCCATCAAAGAGCCCATATTATGCCCTTTTTGGGGTTTGTATATTTAATCTATGTACCTACTTTTGTACGTTCACAATAGCTGAAGTTCTAAAAAAGTGTCTGTTTTCATGTACTGCTCCTCCTTGCTCCCTCTACGCTCTGAGTCCGTCAGCTACACTCTGTTGAGCCCACACTGTTAGACCCCACGTGGGCCAAGTCTGCTCTGATTGGTCTGCCGAGCCTCTCTGTCGTTATTGGTCAGTTGCTCAGCATGCTTCTCGGAAATTTCAACATGAGCTGCTGGGCTTTCCACAACGAGCCAATGGGCTTAGATCAGTGATCTCACACTGACAATGACGTCGGACTGGACAATTTTTATTATTTATTTAGAACCGAGCGTTACATGCGGCTAATGCTACAGCTAACAGGAGGACGTAGGAGAAGCCGCGGACTTTGAATTTTTGCACATAGATGTTCCTAAACATGCACAGGACATTTGGAAAACACACTAAAGAGCATATAAAACCAGAAAAAGCAGAATATGGGACCTTTAAGGTTTGATTATTGTTAGTAACTAAATATTTAATTGCACAATTTAATGAACTACAAATACTTAATGATATCTCTCAAATTTAACCTTTTATAATCACTGCCTGATTTTTTTTTTTTTGCATTTTGCATTTTTAAAAGGGTCATAAATTCAGCCCGAATTTCCAAATTCTAAAACTTCAAGTTAAAACAAAGATTAAGTTCAGACCCAATGTCCCGAAAACCGATAAGTAAGAAAGCAAAAAACTATTCAAATCTTTATGGACTTGTATCCATTGTTTCCTCTTTTGTCAAACTCTAATCAGGACAATACAGTCAACATCTCTTTACTGTTGGCAACAGATATGACCACCTCTGCTGATGAGCCTCCGGAGCCCCCTGCTGTAACAGATGGCTGACGTCACTCAGGCTTACAGTCTATGGTTAAATGTAATTATACTCTTAACCATATTTTGCCAGATTGGACTCATAATAAGTTACATCTATCCATTAAAAGCTCAAATTGTTGACAGATGTCATTTTTAAACCACATTACACAGGTCACAGGTACCAGTCGTACACCTTTGAGAATCCCATATCATTTTAACTCTTCTTCACACCACATTACATCCCAACATAGAAGAACTCTTTGCAGCAGCTTGTGTCTGCAGAAAAAAAAGTGCCCCAGGTTTGAAGTCTTCTGAGAAATCTTGAAAGCCGAGATCAGGCGAGCGATGCTGGAGCGTTCCAGGATGAGAGCATCCAACTCATATGCATGGCTTCGAGGATCATCTGCCTTGTGGTGCAGCTCCAGTCCTATGCATTCTCTCTATTAACATCCGTGTTTAGCAGCAGCCGACTGAAAAGTGCAGTGACCTTCACAGTGACCTCCCAGCATGCACTGTGCCTTCCCTCGGATCAGGCTCCAGT